TGTTGGCGGCTGTGGGAGGTAAGGTTACAAGTCCCATCAGGGGTGCGTTGAAGGTTGCTGCCAGGGTTTATCTTATGCGGCTAAGTAGTCAATCAACAGGAAGTGGTGTGACAAGATTTGGCTTTGCCACATCATATATGTGTACATGTATATATGTATCCATTGCTTTAAGATGCTGAATCCCTACACTCCAAAGGCTTCTCAGAGGCCGAGATTGGGGTGTAAGGCCACCCTGCAAGCCCTAAACCCTACACTCTAGACCGGTCGTATACATGACAGGTTTTGTGATGTCGAGCAGTCGTGCATGGCTTCATTGTAGTTGTGGTCCGCGAACCTTGCCGGGTAAGGGTCTGGGCGAACATTCAGTTCGAGAACTCAAGCCCGAAACGGCCGCGCTCGAATAATGGGTTCTAAACCTAAAAATCTAATTAATTATGTCTACACCCTGAGCTACCAATCTTTACATATTTATGCAAAAACACTCCAATGTATCAATCTTGAGTTCTCGCAAACGGGAAAACTCGAAGCCCGACTGCTTTCACGTCTTACGTCTTGTCTCACCTCTTCTTTGGGGTGTAGTTCAGGATCATATATATATATATATATATTTGAATATCTCTGCATCAGGATGCGTTTGAGGTCCTTTTATACGGGTGAAGTGCTAGTCTGGTGACCTACAAAGGGACCTTAGTTTAGAGACCACCTATTCAGTAAACGCACTAATCAGTCATCCTTAAGCCATGTTCCAAGTTTCTGGCTTCATTGTGGGGTTTAGCAGGGTTTTGGACTTTCAGGCGTTGCGGGCATGGTAAGAGTCTCCCAAAAGACAAGGCCTTGCGGGTTCCGCATGCTGCTGGCTCGAGAGGTTGAGGATTGGGCCTCCGGATCATAGCGATCCTAGCCAGCCCCGAATTCGGCGAAGTCCCCTAAACCCTAAACCCTAAACCCTAAGTGTAGGGTCGCATATAGAAGGTCGATGGCGTCAGTGAAAAGTACACCCAGGGAGCCCTCGGCCCTGAAGCTTTAAACCCCAAACTCTAAACCCGAAGCTCTATGATACTCTATAACCCAAAACTCTCGATCCTAATTCCGAAGCCCTAGACCCAAAACCCTACACCCTAAACCCTAAACAAAAAAAACAAGAAAACCTAAACCCGACACTTCAAGCACTGACGCGAAGAAACCCACGCTTTGGCAGGGGGTCGGCTTGGACCGGTGCGATCTCATCTGGACATCGCCTCCTATCTGCGGTTTAAGGATTTATGGGTTTAGGATTTAGGGTTCAGGGTATGATTTATGGTTTAGGGTTTAGGAGCTCAGAGCTAAGAGGTTTAGGGTTTTAGGCTTTGGGGCTCAGGGTGTTTAGAGTTTGGGTTTTGGATTTAGGGCTTAGGGTGTTGTAGTCGTAGTTTAGGGTTTACAGTTCAGGGTTCACGGCGTGTTAGAGGAGGGACCTGGACGGTTGACATCGGGGTTTCGGTTTTACCTAGAGCAACCTTATGAACCCCCCGGAAGGGAGATGACCCCCGAAAAATGATGCATGTTTGACATTTGTTTAAAGGCACCTCGGTTACGATTACACTTGGTTTCAGGGAGGTCAAGGCGTATGTGATTGCTAAGCAATCCGACCCCTTATACCGCGCAGTTTGAAGTGAGAATTCGGTGACACTTAGACGTGCCCAACTGCCTTTTCAAATTTAGATCGCCGATGGAAGAACTTTGACCTTGTTTGGGCCAGGTTATTGAAGAAGAGAGTTTACAGCCGAAGTACTCACTGAAGGCAGAAGGGCTTTGTCAAGCCTACTCTCTCGAAGGCTTCTGGTAATAGAGACACCTGAACAACACTTATAGGCAAAAGTCATAATGAACATTAGATCAAAATAACTCTATGTAAGATAATTCCTGAGGGTTCCTTATCATAGCTATAGTAAGGTTAAGGCCGTCGCGTTTGAGCTATGGTGGAGTATGCCGTCATGCAATGGAACAGGTATAGTAGCTCTTAACCCTTTAGGGTTTAGGGTTTAGGGGCTTAGCGTTAAGGGTCTAGGCCAATCATTATGCAAGGCCCGTCTCTTAGGGCTTGCAGGTGCCTGCCGATTAAGTACTTAGTTTCGAAGCCCTCAACCCCAAGTCTCAAACCCTCAACCCGTCCCAACGCGAATATCAACCCCAAACCCATGAGGCAAAAAGCTCGCAAACCTTAAACCCAAAGCCTAAGCCCAGGAAGGCTACCAAGTTTTGGGCGATGCGCTGCGCCGCCACCCGAACATCACGGAGCTTGACCTCAGCAAGAACTTCTTCCAAGGATACGTTTGAGGGCTCTTAAAGGGTTATTCTACGAGAGTTTATGGTTTAGGAGTTTAGGATATGTTATATGTTTAGGGCTCCTTTGTGCGCTCGTTGAAGGTTCCTTTGAGCCGTAGACTCTTGGATTTCGGACATTAGAGAGCTTTACGGATACGATAAGGTCTGAAGGGTTCATTAAAGGTTACTTTTATGCACCCTTCAGAACCTATGGTCTCTATAAGGTTTCTACCGGTGTTCCATCCGGGGTTTAGGTTTTATTTTAGGTGGGTTTTAGGGTTCAGAGCTGTATAAGTTGTATAAGTTTGTGGATCTTAACGTGTCGGTCATTGGGGTCACGGGGTTTAGGGATTTTAAGTTTCTGGGGATTCGAGCTTTATAGGGTGCCGGGTTTAGGCTCATTACCCTGACCAATAAACCCGTCCTATTACTATGGTGTTTGTTACTGCTGGTTTATCTTGGTTAGTAGTATAGTTACTCTCATACTTCTCACCTGTGGCTTGGAATGAAACCAAGAGCCTGAAGCCCCGAACCCCTCAGTGGAGACTTCTGGTGGAGCCCTGCCTTGGGGGAGTGTGAGACGGTCCTCCTCCACATGTTTCAACAAGATGCCCTGGCGAAGGAATATTACTACGGAAGATGCCTTGAATCTTTTTTTGGCGATCCTATTACACCTGAAGGTGTATGCCTGAATTCCCGTCTAGAATGCCTACAGATCCCGTTAAGGAACCTTTTTAAGAAGCCTCAAGGGTACATTCCTAGACCCTAAACCCTAAACCCTAAACCCTAAACCCTAAACCCTAAACCCTAAACCCTAAACCCCAAACCCCAAACCCTAAACCCTAAACCCTAACCAAGGGATCTTGGAAGATCTGGCCCCCGCAAGAGGACCAGGATTCCCGCATTTGCTGCGTGGCGTGGCCGAGATGAAGGCCGGGTGTCAGAGGGTTTTAGGGTTTCGGGTTTGGGGTTTGGGGGAGTTTAGGGGTTTAGGGTTT